TTAGTACACGAACAGATGTCCCCAACTGTCCTCTTTCCAACAGTGAAAACCGCAACTCGCTATCTCTTTTCGTTCTCGAGTTATTCAAAAAACAATGGACTGCCTAGTATTTTGAAATGGATAGTAGATGATTAAGGGCCCCCATTTTTTTAATATACTTCAAGCTGGAGAGTTCGGGTTTGTTTTGTTTTAAGCTAGACACCTAACTACATGGTCTAACCGGCGCCGATTTTTCAATTAAGCCTTTATTAGTTTTCCAGGCAACCAACAACCTCCAAAACTCCTTCGGGATTTTCTAAAATCCTCAGTTTGATAAAAAACTAAGACCTAATTTAAAAATCGACGCCGGTCAGACCATATAGTTCTTTTTCCTCTTTTAAACAAAAAAAGAATGAACTCTCTACGACAAACCGCTATTAAAAATCTTGGGAAATACTTCAGGTGTAACTCTTATATAGTGAAAACGCTGTATTAAACGCTGTATGAAATACTGAATTTTAGGACTTCTAGGAAAATGCCTGTAACCTTTTTGATGCAAGGTCATACAGAGTTGTGCGAGGTCTTATTTTGATCAGAAAAGTCTGCTCTACAAATCTGTGTCTTAAAAATGTTAATCGCATAAGTATCCAGGAAAAAACTATTATTTGAAGACCCGGTTTTTCGAGGCTCCTAGAAAACTTGCTCAAAATCCACGAGAAACCAATTTTGTAACCAAAAGCGATACAGATTCTGGATGTAGACATTTCAGGCTATCTTTCCATGTGCGTATCTCAAAACCGACTTATTGACCGAAAATCACCATTTCTGAGGGGGGGCCTTAATCGACTTACAGTAAAAATGATAGACAGATACCAAGTGAGGTTGACGGATTTGTTTAAGCGTTTCCTCAAAATAAAATTCGACGAATGATTTTTTAAACGGTTGCTCTTCATGTATCTTGAAATTAAACCTCGCAAAACACTTACAAAATTAATTGCTTTAAACTGTAAATATTCTTTTGTTGTTTCATTATCAAGATCTGAAAAATGAAATGGTTTGGGAAGTAGAAGATGATTAATTATTTGAAATTATTCAACTAACTTGCTTGAGGTTCTACTGTGTTTGACATTTATCTGAAACAAAATGATATTTTTACTATTCTGAGGTGTGTCAATATTAGCTTCAATCATGTTCAAATGTTTCTCTTGAGAGTTATTTAGCGATTTCTTTTTTTAACTGATGATTGACATTAATTTTTAATTGAGAAATATTCTCTCGACTACATATGAAAAATTCTATCTTTGAATATTTGATCAGATTGTTAAAGACAAAAAAAGACGATGTCTCTTTTTTTGTTTGGTTGAAAGAGAAACGTAGGATATCATATAAGATATGAACTAGTAGGAGTAAGAAATAATGCCTGATATAACAGACACTGCTTTTTCGTCTCGTTTAAAATGAGAAGAAAAGCTTTGTTTGTATCGTCATCACACACGTGGCTGCCACATAAACTTGTGTGTACTTACTATATAGACTCTTTCACTTTCAAAAATGTTAGAAAAGTATATATATGCATTTACATGAAGCATGTTTGTCTTCCTCAGAAATTTACGCAGGACAAAATACACGTGAGATACCAGTATAAACGAAATTAAAAACATCGAACGAAAAGCAAGTAGCGTTCATCATGCTGATTCGCTTATCCCTTGACTGGAAAGGAATCGCCGATGCCAATCGCTTGCTTCAACGTACATTCTCTAACTGGCCGAACTTAGTTCTCACCGAAGCAATTTTTCTTAATGATCACTTACCATGAGCTGGAGCTATTTTCGTCATACACCTCACAGACATGATGCTTGCCCTAGCTCACGTAATTACGGAAATTCTACTCTGTCTTGAACCACACATTTCTGTCTTAATCGGCGGTCGGTTACTTCCTTTACTACTCGCTATCCCTCTCATTTCGAAGACCAATAATAACATTAGATCGGCAGCACCAAAACTAATTTCTTGTCAGATTTCGAAAGGAAAAAGCCATATTTACGTTAAGTAATCGGAGCTACTTTTTGCACCACTGCTTGTCCCGCTCCATTATTACTATAGATGCCCCAACAAAATTTACCAGTTTCCCCACACTTACTCTCTTTTTCCCTTTTTCGTTGCTCAGAAGTCCCCTGCGCACACAATACCCAATGTGCTCACTACTCTCGTGTGTTAGGATGCAGATAAGTGTGTCCATCTA